AGATAGATAGATAGATAGATAGATAGATAGATAGATAGATAGATAGATAGATAGATAGATAGAGAGAGAGACAGAGAGAGATAGACAGAGAGAGAGAGAGAGAGAAAAGATAGATATAGTTAGTTAGATAAATAGATGATAGACAGACAAAGATAGATAGATAGATGGTAGATAGATAGATAGATAGATAGATAGATAGATAGATAGATAGATAGATAGACAGACAGACAGACAGACAGACAGACAGACAGACAGACAGACATAGATAGAGGATAGATATAGTTAGATAAATAGATGATAGATAGACAGACAGAAAAAGATAGATAGATAGAAAGAACGATAGAAGAGAAAGAGAGATAGACAAAGAGTGAGATGAGACAGACAGAAAAAGAGAGATAGATAGACACAGAAAAAGGGAGAGATAGACAGAGAAAAAGAGAGATAGATAGAGACAGAGAGAGATATATAGGGAGAGAAATAAGATAGATAGGCAGAGAGAGAGAGGCAGGCAGACAAAGATAGATATAGTTAGATAGATAGATGATAGATGGACAGACAAAGATAGATATAGAAAAAGAGAGATAGACAGAAAAAGAGAGATAGAGATAGATAGACAAAGTTAGATAGATAGAAAGACAGAGAAAGAGAGAGATGAGACAGACACAAAAAGAGATAGACACAGAAAAAGAGAGATAGAGAGATAAAGAAATATAGACAGACAGACAGATATAGATGATAGATAGGTAGATAGGTAGGTAGGTTTGCCATCCGGTTTGGGGACCCTGATTCTCAATCCAGGGTGCTGAAAACAGCACCCCAACAACCCAAGCTTTAAAACTAAACCCAACTCGTGTCTTCCCGGCTTCTGAATCCCTGCCGGGTGAATTCCCCCCCCCACTTCCCGCTTGCAATGCTGGGCTTGCTCCTGGCTGGATCCAGAGTCGCACCTGGAAGAAGTAGGTGAGAGTGTCAAGCCGCCCAAGGTGTGCCAGACAGAAAATTGGACGAGATAAAAACCCATGCCGTTTTTTATGGCAAGGCTGCAACGGACGAGACCCTGGCAGGTTTTGGCCCGCGGTTTTGTTCCCTTGGTTTGTGCCACCGTTGTGTGGCCCGGGGGTCCCGGTTTCCTTCTCTAAAAACGCTTCCTAAGTGTCTTTCCTCCCCTTCCCGCCCCCAAGGTCATTCGCACCTCCCGACAAAAAACAACAACATGTATTTATTTCCCTTTTGCTCTCCCCCAGCATCCTGAGGACAGACCCCAGACTCAAATCCGCCTCCGTTCACACAAGTGCCCCCCCCCCCCCCCCGGCCCCCCATCGCCGCCCGCCCCAAAGCCCACCCAACCACCCACCCAGCCCGAAGAGCCAGAAGAATCAGTGGAAGATGTGAAGCGGGGTAGCCGAAGCAGAAGCACCTACCCGTCTCCTTCTCCGTAGTCCCATGCTCAGCAGCAGGCCGGCCGGCAAAAACTCCCCCACCCCCCACTTCTTAGCAACTGCCACTGGCAACTACACAAAACTACACTAGTTTGCAAGCGACACACCCCAGCCTGGCCGGGCCATGCCCGCCTCTTCCCCTTCCCTCCCCATTTCTTCTTCTAGGGAAGAGTTGACCTCATAGGGAGGAGCACCAGCCAAGATAGGCGGGGGAGGGCACCAGCAAGAGACAACACAACTGCAAAAGTGTCTGCGAATTGTGGGTTGCTTCCTCTTAGGAAGCCCCTTCCTCCTCCTTTTATTTCCTCCTTGCCCTCCCACCCCCCAGATGCTGGGGTGAGACAGGGGCTCGTCATGGTGGGATGGTGGGGGGCTACAGGCAGAGTTCGCTTATCTGGCATTTTCGTTCGCTTATATTGAAGTCTGGCTGCAATTGGAGTGCGAGGGATGTGTGTTTGTGTTTATTTTCATAGTCACAAATTGTACACTGAGGATGGCATTTAATTTTGTTGTGCGAGGTGCAATGACAATAAAGTAAAAGTAAAGTAAAAATAAAGTAAAGTAAAAATAAAGTAAAAGTAAAGTAAAAGTAAAGTAAAAGTAAAGTAAAGGTAAAAGTAAAGTAAAAGTAAGGTAAAGTAAAAGTAAAGTAAAGGTTAAAGTAAAGTAAAAAAGTAAAAGTAAGGTAAAGTAAAAGTAAAGTAAAGGTAAAAGTAAAGTAAAAGTAAATAAAAATAAAGTAAAAGTAAAGTAAAAATAAAGTAAAAGTAAAGTAAGGTAAAATATTTCACAAGTAGAGTTCTCCGCTCCTCTACTCGTTGTAGAATACCTTATGCCACCAGACTTGAAATTCTAGACCTAGAAAACCTTGAATTATGCCGTCTTCGGTCCGAACTAAGTATAGTATATAAAATCATACATTGCAATGTCCTACCTGTCAATGAATACTTCAGCTTCAACCACAACAATACAAGAGCAAACAATAGTTACAAACTCAAGGTAAACCGCACCAAACTTGATGGCAGGAAATACGACTTCAGCAATAACAGAGTGGTCAATGTCTGGAATGCTCTACCTGACTCTGTGGTTTCTTTCCCCAAACCCCAAAAACTTTAACCTTAGACTGTCTACTATGGACCTCGCCCCTTTCCTAAGAGGTCTGTAGGGGGCCTGCATAAGCGCACCAACGTGCCCACCGTCCCAGTCCTATTGTTTCTTTTATATTTTTAATTTTTCTTATATGTATCCATTTCATGTATTCATAACTATGTATATACTTATACCTATTATCTTGTAAGCGATTGACAAATCAAATAAATAAATAAAATAAAAAGTAAAGTAAAGGTAAAGTAAAATGAAGTAAAGTAAAAGTAAAGTCAAGTAATTGGAGAGATAAAATTTCCTAAAATTGAACGGAAGCAACTTGAGTGAAATACAGTATTTTGCACAGGGAGAATTCTGCTGCCAGTCTCATATATTTGCACAAATGCAGTTTGGGAGGGGGGCATTTGTGTGTGTGTGTGTGCATGTGCGTGTGTGTGTGTGTGTGTGAGAGAGAGAGAGAAAGAGAGAGAGAGAGAAGGGGTGGTGTAATATTTTGCTCCCATTCTCACTTATTGGCAGAAAAATGTAGCTTGTGTGTGTATATGCGTAGAATAGCAGAGTTGGAAGGGACTGTTGGAAGTTAAAGCCCACCTTTTTCCTAGGAAAATGAACAATTTTAGGATGTACTAAAAAGGCAGAATACTTCCCCTAAGAGAGAAGGAGAAACTCAGAAAGGCGGGGGGAAAAGGGCGTGCATAAGTGCACCAGCGTGCTTACCCTCCCTGCCCTACTATCTCCATTGATCTGTATTTACTCCCTGTTCTTGTTTATGTTCACGCTTATACTTGTTATCTTGTACATGTTTGACAAACAAAACAAATAAAAAATAAATAAAAAGCCAGAAACTCTCTCCCCCCCTCTTCTGAATGGGCCATTAAAGCCTGGGCCAGTCTATTCTACATAACAAAGATCTACCTCCTTCGTGGCCATTCAATTGCCATTCAGTGGCCCTTCGTTGCAGCACCCGGCAAGTTTCAACCAAACTTTCACACACAGAACAACCCACAGTTACTCCTGCGTAGCCCCATGGGAGTCTGGCAGCAACCAATGGAATACATGCTCTTGCCACAGGAACAGGAAGCTCAAGTTCAAAGCCCAAGACAAGGTATAAAAACCCCTCACTCTCAATCCCATGTAATCAGCTACCCAGAATCACATGGGCTTGGTGGTTCTGCTTCACCATTAAATCATCTTTTCAAGCAGCCGCCATGTTTCCGGTGTCTTTTTCCCCACTTGGAACTGAACCCAGGTGGACATTTTTTTTCCAATGGGACCTCGGAGGTCTTCTAGTCCAACCCCCTGCTTAGGCAGGAAACCCTTACACCACTTCAGACAAATTGAGTGTCCAAACTCTTCTTCAAAACTTCCAGTGTTGGAGCAGTCACACCTTCTGGAGGCTAAGTTGTTCCACAGATTAAACACTGTGTGTTTGTGTAGTTTTCTGCCTTTAGGCATCGGAAACAGGAGATTCCTCATCTTTGCATAAATTTACAGTACATGTGTGTGTTTGTGTCGTTTTGTGCAAATGGGTGAATTTTCTGTTTTAGGGAGGAAGCCCCAAATATGTCCAAGGCTCTTGACAGCACAAAAAAAAATACTCAAATCCACAAAATATACAAATCCACAAAATAATTTCCTGCCTGAAAACAGAAACATTGATCTCATTGCATAAATGCAGTTTATGTGCTTAGGAGTGGTGTTTGTGGATTTGTGTATATATTTGTGAATTTTTTTTGTGCCTGTCAGAATCTCTGGCTGGATTGGGGTTTTCTGCCTGAAAACAAGAAAAAAAAATACTTCTAAATGAAGTAAATGAAGTTTGTGTGTATTTGTGTGTTTGTGTGAATGAAGTTGGTGTGTATTTGTGTGTTTGTGTATTTTTGTGTCTGTCAAAATCTCAGGCTGCTTTCGGGTTTTCTGCCTGAAAACACAGAATACACCTCTTTGCATCAATGTAAATTATGTGAGTGTGTGTGTTCATAGGTTTGCGTGCATTTATGTATTTTTGTGCCCTGAAGAATCTCTCTGACATATTGGAGGCTTCCTGTCTGAAACAGAAAATGTATATTTGCATAAGTGTGTGTGTGTGTGTGTG